GCAAGGCGTACATGGCATGGTTATACAGAGCTAAGAATCATAATTCGGATCCAGAACACAGGGAGAGGGATGAGGAACCCAGCCTCTCAGAGAGGAATAAAAATCACCGAGCAGTCCCACCATGCAGAGAGCAGCAGAAACGCACGCACACATGGCAAAATAACCCAGAGAGAGGTTGGCACGAGAATGAGAGCGGCACAAAGCCGAACATTCAGGAGAATCGCAGGAGGGGGAGGTTCAGAATAGAACCATACCAACACCCCATGCCCCGACATGCGCAAGGTCAAGATTACCCACAGGGATGGCGAAGTAACAATCCAGGAAAAATTTGGCACCCAAATGGGAAAAACACTGGGCCAAGGGTGCAGGAGAATCGTAGGAGGGAGAGGTTCAGAGCAGAACCATATCAACACCCCATCCCACGACACACGCAAGGTTCAAATTACGCACAGAGATGGGAAGATAACCACCTAGCGGGAAGGTGTTACACATACCGCGGAGGTATGGATGCGAACATTCACGAGAATCGCAGGATGGGAGGTCAAACACAATCGATCCAATTCCGACCAATTCCTCCACCGGCTATACCAGGAGGGAATAGAGGAATAACACAGAATACGGTCCAAATACGTGATGAACCATCCACAGTGATTGAGAGCGGGCAGCCCATACGCGCCACACCCGCCGAGGTGTTAAACCCGGCGCTCAATGTGAAATACAGGCAGGCTGCAAGTGACAGGGCGGGCAAAAACGTGGACAGTGCTCCCGTAAATGACGCGCGGATCGAATACAAGGACAGGGTTGAATTGAAGCGTGATCGGACAGTACAAAAACAGACAGCAGGGACACGCCCTGAGGAGCGCAGGCATGAGCCTTTGAATGGAAAATATCCAAGGGAAACCAAAAATTATGTGGATCGGAGTGCTAAAATGGAGACGAATGTCCATGACGTACCGGGAATGGTGTTGAAATCCAACACACTAGTAAAAACAAAGAGGGCAACATTACGAGGGACAGAATTAAATCGACACACTGACTCGGCAAATGTGCATGTAATCGCAGAGAGAGCGAATGCCTCGAACCAAGTGTCAAAGTGGGTCGTGTGCGCGAATTCTGGTTATGTGCAGCACAATTTTTCACCACACACTCCCACGACACAGAGAGTCAGAGAGGAAACTACAAAAACGAACCCGAAAACCGTGATCGAATTATCGAAGTGATAAGTGGTGAACGAGGCAACATGAGGAAGGTAACGCATAAATGCGTTCGAAACCGCTACCTAGCGTTTCCCAGGATTTAACAAAAACAAAAATGAATATTCGTCGGAGTCATGATGTATCAGAACCGATGTAACGCAATATCGATGTTTAACGCTTGTTTAATTTTCTTTGCTCAATTCAAATATAACCATGTTAAGTTGTGACACGTACGCGCGCGTTGTAAGGAATAGCAGCAAAACTTGAGGACAATCGATGGTTCATGATGGAAGAAGGGTATACATTTTTTTTAAAAATAACCCGTGGCCATTTGACCACTGGTCATTTTTAAAAGGGCGGTATGTTGTATCCTAACCCTTCTTCCATAATTGAGATTAATAATATTTGATGATTTTTATATATTATCTTTTTACTTGTTTTTTTAATGAGTGAAACACACCAAAGCGCACCAAACTGCAAAACACCAGGTGTTGTTAAGTAATGAACGAGAGGAGGGCTAGGATGACAGAATTGCAACCTTGCTTCAAGGCAAAGGCAGTGAAAGGAAGCAGAGGCGCCTTTGTCTAAGTCATAACCACAGAAAGCCAGGAATCATCACTGATTGTGTGTTAGGGATTCCGAGCTAATTAGAACACGTGCACACAGAAAGGGAGGTAGAAGCACGCCTTGTTCTCCTGCAGCTGAGGAAACATAGATAAACCCAAGAAGGCCTTGGACCTGAAATTAAGAATAACATTCCCAGAGCAGAAGGTTGGAGGGCACAGGGAGAGCTGATTTAAAAAAAATGTTGTATATCTCTCAAGGCGGGCAGACCCAGCTAAATAACACGGCTGCGGGGGTCACCAGAAGTTCGCGTTCGCCTAGTTAAGACAAAAAGCTCAATTATTCTGTATTGCTATTAAAGTAACGTTAAAGTCGGAATTTAACAACAGGGTAGGCTAAAGTTTGATATTCACACCCACTCCAATTAAACCAGGTCACAAGTACGCCTACTGAACCATCACCATCATTAAGTCAATATGAAATGTTATTTCCATACTTTAATGCTTTCTATACAACTCGACCCGAAGCATATGCATGAAAAGACAAAAGTAAAACTTATGGAAAAGCCAGGATAACGGGATGAATCACCACCAGGTCGAATATAAATACATAATAAAAAACGATGTTAAACCCAGGGTCGGAGAGAAAGGGAGATCCCGGCCGTCTTTGTATCCCCGCAGCGCGGGATAGGGAGTGTGTATACGCTCGGGGAGACGCCTCCACTTGGGTCGGGCACCACGATGGGAAACGACAGACCTTAGGTTACATGCAGAATCATAGCTGTGAAATAGTAAGGGACAAATGTTAACTTAAAACTTTTTAGCCATTTCTTTGTGCGCCGGGTCGGAGAGAGCGTTGCCCCTCCCTCCAGGTGGTGCCGAACAAAGACGCCTATGAGACGATTTGTAACGTCTGTGTTTTGGGTCATGAAGAAGGCCAGACAAGAGATAATATTGCACCCAGACAGAGAGACGACTTCGAGGCAATTTGTAACATCTGATTGTTTGCTCGTGGGTTTTATGGAGGGAGTGTGACAACGAATATACCGTCAGTGATGCACACAAGGACACACGGACATACGGACAGACACATGGACACACCTGCCTACGGACAGATCCTGACACAGCAAAAATCGGAGGAAGCCCCGCCTTGTGGGCGGGATCCAGGGGGAATTTTCGGCATAAAGTAAAGGATCCTGAGCATTGGAAACCAGTGCGACGGGAGGGTCCACTCAGGAGTGCGACGGGAGGGTCGACTCAGGAACGAGTGCGACCAGAGTGGGTCCACTCAGGAGTGCGACCAGCGGGTCCACTCAGGAGTGCGACCAGAGGGTCGACTCAGGAGCGAGGGCGACCAGCGGGTCGACCCAGGAGCGAGCTCGACCGGGAGGGTCGACTCAGGAGCGAGCTGCGACCAGCGGGTCGGCTCGACTCATCTTCAGCTCGTCAACCTCTGCCGAATCGGGGGTCTCTGCTGCCACCGGAGTGGTGAGCATCGCGGATCGGCGACAACCCAGAGCTGCACGCTACGAGCGAGTTGTGGGCGCCACCTACCGACCGGGTTCCGAACTGCGACAGCGTATCAACAGGCCATCCGAACCAATTCGCCACGGGATCGACTGATACGTATGACGCGCACCGCCCCCTCACCACACGACCACCAGGCGTCTGTTTGACCTAAAGAATCGACTCCGAACACTGACTATTCAAGACAACTCTTACCACTCAAAAACACTCGAACCCATAAGCCATCCGTGGCTGGAAAGCATCACAACGAGACCGAGTGATGGCCCTCCGTCGTTTATAAGAGTATTCTTAATTTTTATCTTTAATATTTAGTGGGCTGTACTCTTAATCGCATAAATTCCCAACAGATCCATCAATACGAACTGATTCTTGGCACCTCCTTCCGCCGAGCCACGCTCACGTGGGGAGTGGTGGCCCACCGGATCCTTATCAGGTGATCTGGTCCCCAATTAGTAAACTTGGTATAAGATAACAATCTTCGGAAAAGGAGCACCGTCGCAGGCCCTTACTCCGAGCCGTTCTGAGATAACCTGCCGATGTATCTGTTGAGATTGGTGCCTTTAAGAATAATAACTGTTTTGATTGTGTTTTTTTTTATCGCCGTATAATCTTTCAAGTATCTTTCAGTCATAATCGCCGCACGTACTCGCATCCTCTACAGAATATTCAACTGTTCCGTGACCCAAGGTGTTAACAACGTGATAAGGGTTGCGTATGATCAATAAGGAGTGCGGTACTGCGTGAACAATATTGAGTATAATCATTCATTAACGTTAAGGTTTTCTTAGCATAGTATTTGCATGTTTTAACGACTCTCTCTCTCACTAACAACCATCGCGTTATGCGGGATCCATGTGCCGTTGTCAAAGTGAAATCAGACAATCGTTGATGATACTGTATTGATGCCGTATTGACGTTCCGGGATTGAGAGTTCGCATACTATATCATAGTTAAGGTTGAATTAGTAATAAATTGATCAATACAGAAGTGGTTGTGTGATTCTTTCCTGAAATCTATGCATAAGATCTGCTTCTGCGTTGAGATTTGAACTTGGTGACCTTAATAAACACACTAATACATACTCAGTAAATGTTAAAGCGATAACGGGGTGAACCGGGGACCTAAATATAACCACGAATACCCACTCTGGGAATGTTAAAGCGAGAATGAGACGAACCTAGACAACGATGCCGAGTTAATCTAAGTTAATCTTGCATACTTACACCACACCTGCATAACCGCATACGATTAATTGCCTTATTCCGATCGATAACCCACCCTCGTCACCGAGGCGGGGTCTGGTTATCATAACGACTTGCATTATCATAATTACACCCACTCGCATAATTAATACGATTACCTCTCGAATTGGCATAATTAAAATGTGCGTAATTACATAAATCAACATATTTCCGGATAATTACACATTTGGCCAAATTTCATTTAATTATTATTATTTCCACTGAATATTCATAACCCACATATACAACATAATAATTTCACCCACGCACGCATACAACATAACAAATTTTCATACCCAACATATACAACATACCCGATACCCGTACCCTACCCGTCTACCGGGTAGGGTACGGGTACGGGTACGGCCGGGTACGGGTACGGGTACCCGTTTGTGACCCTGGTGCGGCCGGGTACGGGTAAGGAATCAAAACCCGTTTGCGACCTCTGCCCCCCCCCCCCCCCCCCACCGCAGCAGAGGCCACACTGCAGCTCGCCTTCCACCTCAATGCCCTCCTTCAGAAGCACTTCCCGGAGTGGCGACGCATCGCCGACATCTCGCAGCGAGTGGTCGCGCGGCTGCAGGAGGGCGACCCGCACCTGCACGCGCGGCTGCTGAGGCTGACGCGCGACGTGGCGGCACCACACACGCAGGTGGGAGCGGCGCCCCGGGCGCGCACGACGCCGCTGGGTCGTGGGAACCGGTGGCGCGGCGGACGGCACGCTGCACCCGCGCTGCGGTCGTAACGAAACGTCTCAGGGGCACGGGTTTGGGGTTGGCAGCTGTCCCTTCGAGGCGCGAGCTGAAATGCAGCGCCCAGTGGAGTGGGCTTCACGGGGAGACGTTGCCATTGGTTGTTGTTTCAAAATAAGCGATTTGCGAAACGTTTTTCAACATGTGGCAAATTTGGGCCGTGACGCCGGCAAAAGTCGGACCCGACGTCCCGTGGCAAGCACCGGTCTTGGAGTTCCCTCTAGGTCTACTCGGCCTTAAAATGGGTCCCCGGTGCAAAAGCAGCCGAGCGCGGTGCCGGCCGCACGGCTGTGGTGTCGTCGCCCGAGCCACAAACCGGTCGCGTGGCTGGCATGGACGGCGTTCTGCTCCGACAGAAGGAATTCCGGAGCCTCCTGGAGTGGGGCGACGACGAGGAGAAGCAGAAGCATTCGCACACGGGCGACGGGGAGCGCGGAGACTCTGGAGGAGACGCGGCGGAGCACGGGGACCCGCACGGCCCCCCGCCCAGCATCCTGCTGGTCTTGCGCAAGTGGATCGGAGAGGTGGGCCCCATGAGCCCCTCCCTCCACGCCTGCCGCGTGTGGAGCGGTGGCTAGCGCACGCGTCCCACCCAGCGCAACTGCCTGGGCCAGTTCGTGCCTACGACATTCACCTGCCAGTTTCTCTCCTGAACCTCCAAGTAAGGTGTGAACAGGCGAGAGTGCCCCGCAAGGGCAGGCGCGTTCAGTCTCACGACTGGTGAACAGTACCCGACTGCACCACACACACGCTGCGCTACGATCACAGTGGCCAGTCCTGGGCCTCCCCTAGATCGACTCGGCCTCAAATGAGTACGTACCTTGCATGGCCTACAAACGAAAGTACCAAGGAGACAAATGCGGCCTGGTTGTGGCGTTGGCCACACCACAGCCCCTTGTGCACAGTGCCGGCCTCAACAGGCGCCCACTAACTTAATTTGCTCCGACAGTCTGTTAAAGGCCGTGCGGGGGATCTTTGTCTTTTTTGCAGGCATTCGTGAGCGTGCTGTCGGCACCGGCCGTGCTGCTGCTGTGGGACCAGCTGTTCCTGAGCGCGTGGGATGAGCGTGTGTTTGTGGATTCGTGCCTCGCGCTGCTGTTGCTGCTCAGGGACCAGATCATGGCGTGCGCCGACTGGAGCTCGCTCATCCAGGTCCGAGTGATGGCGCACACCCGCATGCGTGCGTGTACCTGCATGTGTACCTGCGTGTGTACCTGTGTGTGTACCGCCGCGCATGTGCGTGTATTAACGTGCCTGTGTACTGTTGTGTACACACACAGTGGCGGCCGGGCGTGGTGCTGGCCAACCCCATCCCTCATTCTAGATTTGAAGCTTTCGTGACTGCAAGGATTCATATTCTTAGGTTTTTTCGGTAAAGTCACGTAGGTAAAAAATTAAAATTAATAAAATAAAATCAAAATAAAATAAAAATCACGACGTTTCGGAGGCAACACAAGCTTCCGTCTTCAGGTGGGACCGTCACAGCACGCTTGCTGTATCAAGTAAAAAAAAAGAATACCCATCCCTCATACTGGCTCAAACAGTCTGTTAAGGCTATACGGGGATTTTGTCTTTGTATGTTCGTGTGAGGAGTGGTAGTGTAGCGGTTAGCACGCCGCACCGCCAACCCGGCCATGTGAGCTCGGCCAACACCAGTGACTATTAATTTAAGTGGTCCTGGGCCTACCCTAGGTCGACTCAGCCTCAAATGAGTACCTGGTGCCATGTGTGTATATCGCCACTGGGGACAGAAAAGGCAGCCGCGCGTGGTGTTGACCGCCCACCCCCTCGTGTGCCGTGTTTGCCTTTATAGGTACTCGCAAACAGCACATGCCCCAACAGTCTGTTAAGGCTATACGGGGGATCTTTGTCTTTGTAGGCAATTGCAAGGCCGTGACTTTACCTACTTCCACGATGTATTCATGATAGTTTTAGTTTTCTCGTTCATGCAAATTGCGTCGCTCACAGTCGTGGAAGAACCACAGTCGAGCGGGGGAAGGCAAGCAGTTGCCAGGTGGCAAGCCGACGCTACCCACGATTGCCCAAGATCCACAGTCCTCTACATAGTAAGATGTTGTCAGCCAATGAATGGGCGGTGCGTTTACATGCGGGAGCAAACCGGAACACCCGGTGAAAAATCCACCGTGCGTGCGATAGGGCCAACACCCTTTTCCGTACAGAAGTCTGCGCCTTGCTGTGCAGCATCACCGTCACCACTGCCCCGGCTGCGCATTTGCTGGAGCTGGCTGTGTGCTGCCGCTGCTCTTGCTGCAGGTGCTGTTGGAGGAGACGCAGCGTCTCTACACGGTGGACGTGGCACGGGCGTTGGCGCACCTGCGGGGAGACGGCGACGCGCTGGCCGTGCCTGCGCTCAACCGCTGGTGCGTAATGGGCCCCGGGCCGCCGCGTTTCGCTCCATGAGCTTCTTCAGTGCCGCGGAGAGAAACGGAGTGCGGCAGCCCGAGGGCACGTGGGGGGAGCTGCCGCGTGGCGCAAGCCGTGTCCTGCACCCACGCACACGTGTCGTCTGCACAGCCGCTTTGATCAATCCACTGCTGGATGAGGGCCTTGGGGGGTTGTTTGACTTTAGCACGCTGGTCAGTGCAGGTGGACGAAGGCGGTGAGCATAGACATGGGGCCATACAAATACAGTACAACGAAGGTTTTGGCTGTACTGACTTCTGCTGCCCGAACCCGGACGAGTGGGAGTCGTGTCATCACTGCATGAGTATGCATTGCAAAGACAAAGATCCCCTGTACAGCCTTAACAAGACTCCTGCACAAAAGCTGTAAGCTAGCAACTATTAAGTTATCGTATCATGCCCGCCCACCTTTGTCTCCCCAATGCTGATGTTCATACAACCATCCCGACTATTCGGAATTGAACTCTGGTGGCCGGGCTTTGTAGAGCAGTGCACTAACTGCTGCACCACCGCTCTCCCCCCCCTCACAACAACAACAACCACCGCCATTCGCCACTAAGTGGCGGTGACGTCACCACGGCGCTTGTGCCAGGCTATGTACACGTTAAAGCCACGCAAAGTGTCCAACGCTCGCTAGCAGGTCACGGGAGAGACTCAGGTGCCATGGATTGACTGACTGAGATCACTGGCTGATGCCCCCTACTGTTCCAGCTTGCTGTGTTGTAGCCACCTGGCACTCCGCTCGTTGTAATTAGCCGGAATTGAACTCGGGTCGTCGGGCTTGTAGAGCAGCACGCTAACCGCTGCACCACCTCTCCGCCCCCCCTGCCCTCACACACACGTACGCACACACACGCGCGCACGCACGCACGCGCCACACACGCGTGACCCTGGCAGGCACGGCGCCCTCTCCCCGTGGGTGGCCCACGACCCGAGTGTGGCGCCGCCCGCCCCGTGCCGGCCCTCCGAGCCGTTCGTCCTCCACATCGACGCCGTGCGCTACCTGCCCGATTGCGCCACCATCATCAAGGTGCGGCGAGGTTCCGCCCTGAGCAGAGGAAGTGTGTCACGTGCGTGCAGGGGAGGAGGAGGAGGGGCTGCCACGAAGGAGAGAATTGACGTCCAAACCTCAGCACGGATGGGATGACGATCGTGCATGATGATTGCTGCCAGCCTCAATAGGCGCTCGCTAACAGCACTTATCCGAACAGTTTGCTAAAGGCTACACGGGGGTCTGTTGTGTTTTAGTGGGGGGGGGGGAGGGGGCTGAGACGGAGGTTTCTTTCGATCCGAAACTAAATATTTTGGGATCGTCTGAAATACAATGTCGAGGCCCGACTTTCAAATCCTCTCGGGTGAATGCGAACGTGGCGAGAGCGCACCCCCCGTGATGGCATCGGCGGATCTGGCCACGGCGACGTCTCGACCTCTTTTGCCAGATTCCGAATCTGCAGCCGGATCGTGTGAACTCGCTTTGTCGCCCAGCGCCGCCACCATCGTCGCGATTACGCTCGTTCACCTGGGAAAGCCCAGCAGCGCTGCTCCGCCCAACGTCGAGCGCGAGCCTCGCGTGTGCTCCGCGAGCGCGCAGGTGACGGGCCGCGTGGTGAAGTCGGGCCTGGAGGGACTGGAGGACATCATGGCCGTGCCAGAGTTGGACAGCCTGGCGCGGAGCCCCCACTTCTCGGAGTGCGTCTCGATCCCCGCGGGGAGCGACGCGCGGGTGCACGACGACGCGCTGCTGCTGCTGCGCGTCTACACGCTGGAGAGGGACTCGCGGCGCGCCGTCGTCATCGGTGCGCAGCCCGAACCGCGGCCCGAGATCCCTGCGTGAATGAAATGAGGGCTCCACCTCTTCCACCTTTATGGGATAGCGTGTTTCCCCCTTGCACGTGCGGGTTTTCTCCCAGTGCTCCGGTTTCTTCCCGCCTGTAAGCACTCGTTAATTGGCTGAAAACATCTTAATTTATATGGGACTGCAGAGCTTGGGCAATTGTTCACCGCGTGGCTGCTGCTGCTGCCTTCCCAGCCATCTGTGGTTCCTCCTCTTGACACCTCTGAGCCGTTCTCTGTCTCCGAGAGCGAGCGACAGCAGTGCAATGGCGACAGTAGGCGGCGGCGCAGTTTTTCAAGTTGAAATTCCATTTTTAAAAAAAGCCACGGATATTTCGTTCATGAGGATAGGAGCTGAGTACTGAGAGCAGCCGCTCACCCGCAACACTCTGAAAATGAGGATTCCACCTCGCCTGGTATACAGGAGGTTGTGGGTTCAATCCTTACCCTGACGCCTGTATATTTGGCGTTTGCATGTTCTCCCCATGGTTGCGTGGATTTTCCTCCGGGTCCACCGATTTTTCCCTCCGCTGATTATTTGGCCGCTACACATTTACACGTGATGAGCCAAATCGTCGAGCTGTCATTTGTGGCCAGGTCACTTTTGAAAAAGAGCTACGTAGCTCAGTGAGCCTTACCTGGCGATAATAGTTTAAGCACTTTAACAAACATCCGGACGGTGTGGCGCGTGCTCCCGTGCGCCTGCGTGTCCGCGTCGTCTCCAGGTAACGTCCTGTTCGGGCTGTTCCGGAGCGACGGATGTCTCAAGAGCGGCGGGCACCAGCTGAGGCTGTGGGCGGGGATGCCCGATCCCGGGGACTCGGCTCCGCTGAACGAGCACTCGCTCGTCCATCACCCGCTTGTGCCGGCGTGCACCATCCTCATCCGCTTGCTGCCGCTCACTCCGGTAAGGGTCCTCAGCGAGCGGCTTCTGCACGGCGCGGCCGCTTGCCAGGTTTAGGCTACGTGGCGGCAGAGTTGAGTTGATTTTCTGCAAAGTGGCTGAGAGATAAAACTATATAAGTAATATATATTAAAAAAATATAAACACGCTTTAATGAAATGTAACGGACTAGTAATGGAAGAACTCCACGACTCCAGGAAGTGGCCCCGAAGCTTGCCACAACGTTAGAGACCGTGGTGATTTACAGCCAACGTCAGTTGAGCGTGGACAATTAGATCCAAGCCGAAACATAACATATAAAAAATAATATTTAAAAATATATATATTATTTGTAATGATAGAATATAGTATTGTCATTAGTATGACATAAGTATACCAAGTTTGCAGTCGATGGAAGTGGGTAAAAATTGAGTTGCAAGATTTGAGGATACAACAACAGACAGAGTGAGTTAATAAAAAGCGTGTAATAAAAACTAAACTAAACTGTTTTTATTTGACCAGGTGAAGCCTACTGAGCTATGTAGCTCTTTCTCAAAAGGAGACGTGGCCACAAATGATCGCTCAACGACGAAGTGGCTTATCACGTGGAAAGTTATTTCAGCCAAATAAGAGCGTGTTGATTCTAAATATGGAGGGGAAAACCGGAGGTCCGAGAAAAATGCACGCGACCGCGTGGAGAGGGATGTGTAAACTCGGCAATGTCTCCTGCCCCCGCCAAACGCCCCCCCCCCCTCATCAGGAGCCGAGGCCCCGGCCCTCGTACGAGACAGGGTTCTACTTGACGGAGGGGGCCCGCCCCTCGCCCTCGGAGATCAACATCATGAGCTCGTACAGCAGGGACGACGCGGGCTCCCCCCGCACCGTGCGGGACTGGCTCTCCGTGCTGCACCCCGGTGGTACGCCGTCACACCGTCACATCGTCACAGCATCACATCGTTACGCCGTCACTCCGTTTCACCAACACACCGTCACACCGTCACATCATCACATCATCACACCGTTACTCCGTCACATCGTCACACCGTCACATCATCACATCGTTACGCCGTCACTCCGTTTCACCATCACACCAACACACCGTCACACCGTCACACCGTCACAGCATCACATCGTTACACCGTCACATCGTCACACCGTCACATCATCACATCGTTACGCCGTCACTCCGTTTCACCATCACACCAACACACCGTCACACCGTCACACCGTCACAGCATCACATCGTTACGCCGTCACTCCGTTTCACCAACACACCGTCACACCGTCACTCCGTTTCACCAACACACCGTCACACCGTCACTCCGTTTCACCAACACACCGTCACACCGTCACTCCGTTTCACCAACACACCGTCACATCATCACATCGTTACGCCGTCACTCCGTTTCACCAACACACCGTCACACCGTCACTCCGTTTCACCAACACACCGTCACATCATCACACCGTCACTCCGTTTCACCAACACACCGTCACACCGTCACTCCGTTTCACCAACACACCGTCACACCGTCACATCATCACACCGTCACTCCGTTTCACCAACACACCGTCACACCGTCACATCATCACACCATCATTCCGTTTCACCAACACATCATCACACCGTCACTCCGTTTCACCAACACACCGTCACACCGTCACATCATCACACCGTCACTCCGTTTCACCAACACACCGTCACACCGTCACATCATCACACCATCATTCCGTTTCACCAACACACCATCACACCGTCACTCCGTTTCACCAACACACCGTCACACCGTCACATCATCACACCGTCACTCCGTTTCACCAACACACCGTCACACCGTCACATCATCACACCATCATTCCGTTTCACCAACACATCATCACACCGTCACTCCGTTTCACTAACACGCCGTCACACCGTCACATCATCACACCGTCACTCCGTTTCACCAACACACCATCACATCATCACGCCGTCACGTCATCACGCCGTCACATCACCACCCTGCCACGCCACCACACCACACCAGGCTGCCACGCCACCACGTTTCGCTCCACAGGCTGAAAACTTGAGGAACTGAATTTGTTCGTAGCTGCACTGCGCTACGAACCCGGCAACCGAAGTTCGATTCCCGCTCACCGCCAACATCAATGACAAATATCAGAACCGGTCCTGGGCCTCCCCTAGGTCAACTATGCATTAAATGAGTACCTGATTTCATCTTCTGACAGACCTGTTCTTCACATGAGGACGCTGTCTTTCCGACAGACCTGTTCTTCACCTGAGGACGGCTGCTTGCATTGTGGCCGAAACGTCGTGAGAATTGTATTTTATTATGTTTTATTTTTATTATTGTATTATTTCCCTTCTACGTGACTTTACTGAAAGAACCAAGAAGATGAATCCCTGCAGTCACGAAAGCTTTAAATCGATACCTGATTTCAGTGTGTAAATTGGAGCAATGGAGAGACAAAGGCGGCTGGCCGGGGCGTGGTGACTGCTCCACCACATCGTGTGCCGTGCCGGGCCTCCGCAGGTGCTCGCTAATGAACACCAACACCTTGCGGAGACTACACGGGGAACCTTTGTCTTTGTCTTTGCGTGTGTGCGTTGCAGAGCTGCCTGCGGACTGGCGCAGCGTCTACCTGGAGCTGCTGGACGCGCGGCGGGCGCTGCCCCCGGGCTGCCCGGCGCCGCACCTGAGCCCGCTGAGGGCCGTGCGGTACCGGCAGCGCACCGGCGTTTGCGTCAGCGTCACGGACGCCAGCGTCACATCACGTACCCGGCGCACACGTGCAGACACAAAGACCGCCCGTGTTGCCTGTAGTGCTGTTTTTTTGTACGCCGCACCGGGTGCTCGTTTGAGGCTGAGTCGACCTAGCGGAGGCCCAGGACTGGTTCACATATTCGCCACTGTTACTGGGTCACGAGCTTGGGTCGCCGGGTTTGTAGCGCAGTGCTGAACTACCGCTGCCCGTGCACAAAGACGCACACGCAAACAAGTGCTTTTGAACTGGCCACAGCACCCTGTTATATCATCCCTTTGGCTTCCGATGGCGTCCGTCAGGACTCGATCTCGTCCTACTCACCAGCCCCCATCGGTAACAACTGTTGGCCGGTTCGAACAGGGCAATGAATTTATCGCTGCACACATCTCACCCCTGCGTGTTGTTGTATTGCGCGCGAGCCAGGCGGCTGCCCGTACCATTACGTACGGGTGTTGGCGAACATATTGCCGAGTGCCGAACTGGACACGCGCGCCGTCAAGGAGATCGTGATCGCGAACCGTTTGAACCTCGTCAACTGCGGCACTCTGAGCGGGGAGCTGGAAAACTGTAAGGTGCGTGATGCGAGTGGAGGCCGGGTGGTCCGAGGGGTCAGAGCGTTGAGCCGGTACCGCTGACGTGCCTGGGTTCCAATCCGGGGTTCAGCCGCTGCCTGTGATTAAACCGGGATCTCAAGTGCAATGAGTTGATGGTCTCAGCCTGGTCACCAGTGACTCACGTAAGAGACCCATAGACTCACATAGACTCACATAGAGACGCATAGACTCACATAGACTCACATAGAGACCCATAGACTCGCATATAGACCCATAGACTCGCATAGAGACCCACAAACTCGCATAGAGACCCACAGACTCGCATAGAGCCCACAAACTCGCATAGCGACCCATAGACTCGCATAGAGACCCACAGGCCCACTTAGAGACCCAAAAACTCGCATAGAGACCCACAGACTCGCATAGAGACCCACAAACTCGCATAGCGACCCATATTCTCGCATAGAGACCCACAGGCCCACATAGAGACCCATAGACTCGATGAGTCAATCCTCTTGACTGCGTACGTGATTCGTGTTGTGCTGCGTATGCCGCGGGTGCCGGATGCGTCTTAAGCCGCCGACGCGTCAGCGACGCGCGATGGCATCGGCGGATCTGGCCACGGTGACGTCTCGAACTCTCTTGCCAGATTCTGAATCTGCAGCCGGACTGGGCGAACTCGCTGCTGCTCAGGGTGTTCGGCCGGAACGACGACGGCGACGACGGTGAAAATTCGGAATTTGCCGACGTGAGCAGCGCGGACTCCAAAGGGAGCAGCTCGTCGCCGCAGCTGGGCTGGGGAGTGCTGCCCCTGTTCCACGGGTAACTCAGGAGTGTAACGGGTGTCCTGGGCCCCGTGGTCATGGAGTTCCCTGTCCCACAGCCGCTCTCTAACTCAGCGGCATGAGGGCCCTGTAATCACAGAATTCCCTATCCCACAGCCGCCGCCTATCCATAACAGTTTTCTCCGTGACCATTTATGAAATATATGCATCGCACATTATTATCCTACAGTCTATAAAACTCTTAAAAGGATTTTATCCATCAAGATCTGAGGTTTCTGAATTCAACTGAATTATCGAGGGCATTGGTACACTTTTAATTTTCTGCATAAAGCCTGACACTCATCAGGCGGTAGTGAGGTAAGATGGTCCACTGAGTTGGAAAGTGGGTTTTGTGTGTCTTTAGTAATTGTATGTTTGGAAAAATGGACATTCTTTGTTTGAATTATTCTATGTTCCAGGCCATATGTGAGGACAGGAAAACATGACATTCTGCTGTTTGAAGGGGCTCCAGATGAGGTAACGCTGACCCATTCACTCCACACACACCGCCTGTATCAGCACACTGTGCAAGTTGTTGTAGTATTACTCAGCTTCGACCCCAAACTCTAACCTTTCACCTAGTCGACCGCTGGTCGATCACCGAATCTACGGCCGTCCGACATGCCTGAAGCTTTTATGAGAACCAGGATTTGTCGCCGGTTTTAGAATGTTCTGGCCTCATGATGACGATGACGACGCGCGGGCAAAGCGCGGAGGAGCTACCTGAGCAGCGGGTGGGACCAACGTCAGGAGGAGCAAATAGGAGGCCACTCGCTGTGCGCAGTGGTGCTAGCGGTTTGGTGTGGGCACTGCTATGCAAAAAAAATAAGTGGCGCGTGGGGCTGGTAGCTCACCGTGCGTTCTGGTTCGACCCTCCCAGATATCGGGTAGCTGTGTAGATCGCCGGCAAGGCAAGCACTGGATGCATTCTCACGCGAGGGGACTTCACGTGCGTGAGGCCGGCCGGTGAAGCGCGCAGAGCGTCCGCCCCTCCCTGACTCTCGCCCCTTCGATTATCGTCAGAACGTGGCGGCGCTGCTGACCCGGGGGGGTGGGGACGTCGCCTCGGCCCTGCGGGAGGCGGAGGAGAAGCAGTGGACTCGGCGAGCGCAGCTCTGCACCGGCCTCACCGTGGAGCTGTGGGACGGACATTACCTGGAGGCCGAGAGGCAGTCGCTCATGGTAACTTGAACGATGCCACAACAACGCCCCTCGTCAGGCGGCAGCGGTGGCGGGTGGCGCGGTGGTAACGCTCGAGGCTCACAGCAGGAAGCACCTGGGTTCGATTCCCGTTCATGGCCAACACCAGCGATATCTGAACCAGTCCTGGGGCTCCCCTAGGTCGATTAAGTACCTGGTGCGATAGTGAACATTGTCACTGGGGAGGTATTATCACCGGGTGTGGTGCTGGCCACCCATCCCCTTGTGTTCCGTGCTGGCCTTCAGACGTGCACGCGAACAGCTCTCGCCCCAACAGTCTGTTCAGGCTAGACGGGGAATCTTTGTCTTTGTGACCGGGCTGTTAACGGTAGATTGTCTGTCCGCCAACAGAACTGGGCCTCCAAGCATCAGGCGGAACATGGAGAAGAGCGACCGTAGCCTTCCTGTTCGTCTCCGTACGCGAGGCTCTGCTCGTGAGACGACGGAGACTTGGACGCGTCACACCCTCGGCCGGCCGGTTGGCCGGCCGGCTCCCCCTCGACGAATCCGCGACAGCGACCGCAGGCATCGACGGCACGCGGACACTGCGGCACTCTGCTTGGTGTCCGCTACTCGGCCGACTCGATGATGTCAGCTCGTGCTCCGGTTCAGAACGCTCAACAGGGCGGACCTCTTGACGGATGTCAGCGATGGCTCTCGTTCAATTGGATTCCTCCCACCGCCTCTGTCCGCCCAGGGGCATAAATGGGAACTACCGCAGTTAGTCGATCGGTGGGTATTGGGTGTGGGTACTCCTAACACATCTCCCACGACGTTACTGGGCCAGCATGGACGAGTTGACTCTAGATTTGAAGCTTTCGTGACTGCAAGGATTCATACTCTTAGTTTTTTTCAGTAAAGTCACGTAGGTAAAAAATAAAATTAAAAGTAATAAAAGTAATAATGGAAATAAAATAAAATAATAAATCACGACGTTTCGGAGGCAACACAAGTCTCCGTCAGCTAAATATTAGCTGTGACGGTCCCACCTGATGACGGAGACTTGTGTTGCCTCCGAAACGTCGTGATTTATTATTTTATTTTATTTCCATTATTACTTTTATCAACTTTTAATTTTATTTTTTAACTACGTGACTTTACCGGAAAAAACCTAAGAGTATGGACGAGTTGGCCAAAACTCACTCGAGAGATGGGCCCTCTAAAGCTGCCTCAGCGGAGGCCCTTCTGTCATCAGTGGCGTGAGAAAATAGTCCCAGAGCTGTGGCTCTACCACTGCGGCCTTCTGCCGGTGGCTGTGTTAAAGATGCCCAGACTGCTCACGATTCCTCTGTGTCAAGAGCGGCTGATGCACACTCACTCCAAGCCTTCATTGGTCGCATCTAAAACCCAAGCGCAACGTTCACTCCGTGCATCTGCTGTCTTGGAATTAATTCAATGTATTACTGTTTTTTACTACTATTTTATATGCTGATTATCGGTTCGCGTGAAAGTGCCAGTGGTGGAAATTCCATAGTATAATCGCTGTTGACTTCCCCACAAAGTGGAACTCATTTCATCCACCTCGGAGGGAGTAATTACAGACTGTCAACCCACTGACCAGGATTTAAACTTCGGATTGCGAGCCTCTCGCTCTGCAGGTGGACCACCCGGCCAGATTTTTGTTACTTTTTTGTGCTGGGTGGATTCTTACGTCGCAGGGTCGTGAGAGGCGGCAGGGGCTTAGGGAGGCTTTCATCCGACAGTGTCTTGGCCATGGCTGATGATCGTGATGGTGATGATGAAGCTGATTTTGTGGAGTTTTAGCATTGTGTAGTTGTTTTGTATGTATGTATGCTAAGAGGAGGTTTTGCTTTGACTAAAATTTTACCTTAAATAAATGTAAAAACCATAAAATTTTGGCAATACATTTGTTGACGTCTCAAGCCTGGATGATAATGCTTTAATACCACTGCCAGTTTTGGCTGCGATTGGGAGTATGGGTGTGGAGTCTGGGTTTGGAGTCTGGGTTTGTAGTCTGGGTTTGCAGTCTGGGTTTGGAGTCTGGGTTTGAAGTCTGCACTTGTAGTCTGGGTTTGGACTCTGGGTTTGGAGTCTGCGTATGCTATCGTGGTTGTGCTGCTGTGCAGTTCTCCCACATGCGTTACGGTCGTGCCCCACAATATCCGACGTTTGTTACCACACCGCTTTGTTACCTTACCGTTTCACCCTGGTCACCTTCAGTTATAATGAACACAAATTCAGACTCTTCTGCAGTCTCGCTGGTGTATACCGCTAACCAATTTGTTCATTCACAATGAACATGTGATCGAGTGAACTGGTGATCCTGTCTGCGATGTTTTTATTTTGTCACATCAGGCCATATATACACTCAGAGCTTCATCTCTCACTCGATATTTTGCGGAACCTTGCTAGGCTTGGCACTGTAGCAAGGCTTTCGCGGCGTAAGGCACTACCACGACAGCGATGCCCATCCAGAACAGAAAAGTCAAAATGATTTTTCATGCTCAAGTGGCTGCTGAAGCATCGTTCACAGCCCCTGAGCCAGTGGTGGAAATTCCACATTCCTATGACAGGAGTCAAGTCTCCCCAGAGGACAACCATCAGTGTTGACTTCCCCACAAAGTGGTACTCATTTTTATCGAGCTCTGGGGTGGAGATGATGATGATAATAATGTGCGGAGTCAACCCACCCCTACCAGGATTTGAACTCGTGACCCGCTGAGTCACCTGGCTCGGAACCGGGGTTCCAGACTGGTGGTGGCCGAACGGAATCGCTGCGTGTGTGTGAGCAGTGGATCAGTCGTGAGTTGTGGTGTAGTGGTTAGCACTATGCAGCACTACCAACCCGGCGTCCCTGTTCGAGTCCCGCTCACGGCCACAAGCACCAGTGACGATTAAACGGAACCGGTCCTCGGCATCCCCTAGGTCGACTCAGCCTCAAATGAGTACCTGGTGTGGAGTGGCATCTACATCTGTAGAACATGAAGAACCAGTGGCATCTACATCTGCAGATGATTCAACTTGTAAAGCCATTCCCCGTGTTTAGTGTACACGCCGTACAACATGTACGGAATCGATCGGAGTAAAGTTGGACTTACGAACACATCGACTTACGGACAGACCTCTGGAACCTAACTCGTTCGTAAGTAGAGGAGTCCCTGGACTCTCTTCCACGCTGACGAAGCGGGCGTTATCCACATTTTACCCCACCGCACGCACCCTGCCGATCGACTCATTGGAAAGTCCAGTGAGACATCTCATCCGTCACACCATCATCCCACCACCTTCATTTATCAAGTTAAAATCTGAACAAAGTTGTGTTTATTGCTCCAGGCAATTCTGTATTGCACCGTTTTTCTGCACACACACACACAATTGCCTGTACTAACCGGTTTTCTTGGCGGGTTTGGCGGTTACAACTCACGCTCACTGATGCCACCAACCCAGGAACCACACTCGCGATGGTGAATGTGAGCGCCACTTAAATAAGTAATATTTAAAACAACTTTTTTTAAACACGCTTTTATGAAATGTACTAGTAATGGCAGACTCGAAGAAGTGGCCCCGAAGCTTGCAATAATGTAAGGGACCGTGGCCAATTACAGCCAACGTCAGTTGACCGTGGACAATTAGACCCAAGCCGAAACATAACACATAAAAAATAATGTTTTTATGATAGAATATAGTATTGTCATCAGTATGACATAAGTATACCAAGTTTGCAGTCGATACCACATTGGGAAGTGGGTAAAAATTTAGTGACTTAAGATTTTACGATAACAACAGTGAGTTAAATAAAAGCGAGTATTAAAAAGCTTCAGGCCGCGCGTCTTATAATCCGGAATGCGTGTGACCAGACCTGTAGTCCTCTTCTGGCTGCGTCTTATAATCCGGCAATGACGTGATTTGTTGCGCGTCTCATGGTCCGCAATGTGACGAGAGATGTGCAAAACTTCATTCGGTGCGCGTCTTATAATCCGGTAGGGATGTGCGAGACAGGATTTAAATAATTTTTCAGAAACCGAACACGAGTGTGTGGGGGGTGCGTCTTACTTTCCGGTGTGATGGGGGGGGGGGCGGGTGCGTCTTACTTTCCGGTGTGATGGGGGGGGGGGCGGGTGCGTCTTACTTTCCGGCGTGGGGGGGGGGGGTGGGGTGCGTCTTACTTTCCGGTGTGTGGGGGGTGGGGTGCGTCTTACTTTCAGGTGTTGGGGGGGGGGTGCGTCTTACTTTCAGGTGTGTGTCTTACTTTCAGGTGTGTGGGGGGGTGCGTCTTACTTTCAGGTGTGTTGGGGGGTGCGTCTTACTTTCCGGTGTGTGGGGGGGGGTGCGTCTTACTTTCCGGTGTGAGGGAGGGGGAGGTGCGTCTTATAATGGGACAGCAGCGGCGGGTGGGCCACTGCTTCTGCCCTCGTCCCCAGCTCCTCCCCCCGCGGGTCGCGGTGGCGATGGGGCGGAGACGCAGGGGGAGGGGACGGAGGTTCAGTTTCATCTACAGTGCTCTTAGTTGTTTCGGTAAAGTCACGTAGGTAGAAAATGAAATAAAATTAATAAAAAATAAAAAAATCACGACGTTTCGTCATCAGGTGGGACCGTCACAGCCAGATTTGCTGCATCAAGTGCTTCAAATCTAGAATTCATTTACAGTTTTCTTGGTTCTTTCGGTAAAGTCACGTAGAAGGGAAGTAATAAAATAATAAAAATAAAACATAATAAAATAAAATAATTCTCACGACGTTTTATTTTAATTATTGTATTATTTTCCTTCTACGTGACTTTACCGAAAGAACCAAGAAGATGAATCCCTGCAGTCACGAAAGCTTTAAATCGAAATTTCATTTACAGTGTTTGGTAATAGCCCTGTGAGCCATTCGGCTCTTAAATCGGGAGGGGGCGGAGACGAAGGGGGAGGGGGCGGGGGTGAGGAGGAGGGGGCGGGGGAGGGGATGGGGGAGGGGCGGGGGAGGGGGCGGGGCGGGGGAGGGGACGGGGGAGGGGACGGGGGAGGGGGCGGGGGAGGGGACGGGGGAGGGGGCGGGGGAGGGGCGGAGGAGGGGGCGGAGACGAAGGGGACCGGGGAGGGGCGGGGGGGGCGGGGGGATGGGGGAGGGGGCGGGGGGGGTGACCGACGGGGCCAGAAATAGCGCGGGCGGAGGCGGGCGGCGTGGATTGTATCCGCGAGACGCGGGTTGAGGAGGAGTGAGAAGCAGCAGCAGCATCGCCACCATCACCATCACCACCATCACCGCCACCATGAAGATGAAGATCTTCGTCTTGATGTGCGTCGCCATCGCGGCAGCGGCGGCGAGCGGGGAGCGACGAGGTGAGAGGCGCGACGTCCCCCCCCGCACCTCGTCTCCCTCCAACTCTCCTCTCTCCCACCTCGTCTCCACTCGCCCCCCAGCCCTCATCTCCACTCATCTCTCTCATCTCCCATCTCCGCCTCCCCCCCGCCATCACCACCTCGTCTCCACGCCTCGCTCTCGTCTCCTCATCATCACCATTCGCTCACCTCGCGGGGTCGACATCAATCAACACAATCCCAACAACCAGCACCACCATCACCCAACAACAACAACCCCCACCGTTAGTTCGCCTTGAACCACAACAACAGCCCCGCCACGACACAATGAGTTGTAACATCACGGGAGCTCCCCTCCTCCACCTTCCCCCTCGTATCACGACAAGCTCGCCCCCAGTAGCCACCACAGAGTCTCGGGAGCCCCGGGGGCAGAGGGCGGGCAGCGCGTCCCGTCGTGCAGGCCCCGAGGGCGGCACACGAGGGCCGTGACACACACCCTGACACACACACACCCTGACACACAACTAACACACACACCCTGACACACACACCCTGACACACACACACACCCTGATACACACTGACACACACACACGCTGATACACACTGACACACACACGCTGACACACA